AAATTCCCGAGAGCTAGATTTTTCTTTGGATTTAAGCTCTTTCTTTTTCTTTTTCTTTTTTTTTTTCCAATTTAAACTATTGGCAAGCCAGTGGATTGCTTGGGAACCTCAACTAGTAAAGCTGCCAGGCAACGACACCACTTGAAAAACCGTGTCGTAGGGGCTCTTGAAAGAAAAACTAAATCAAGCTAAAATATAATATAGTAGCCTAACCTTGGTCGATTCACAAAAGAGCTTTTTCATGTTATAATTCCTTAGCTAATCCACTTTTATCAAATTAACAAATTAATACCAAAACTAGATTCTGTGATTTCCCTATGCCAATCTGGATGAAATGTTTATTCCTTTATGTTTCTAAGATTTACAAAATGAATGGTTTTGGATGAAATAGAATGTATCAGTTATGAATGAATGTTCCCCTAAAAGTTCACCTTGCCTTCCCAACCTGATTAAGAATATAGAGTTCAATCAACCAAAGTCATCATTGGAGTTGATTCACTGATCAGTCCACCAACTAACAGGAACTTATAACTATTCAACTCGAACAGCGTATAAAACCGTATTAGCAAGTTACTCGTTTGGCAAGAGAATTAGTGTTAGCAAAACTGAATCCTCCTCAGTGACAGCCACCACAAATCACCTCAGACATAATTCAAATCAATTTCAAAACCTGACTCAACTCGATTCCAAGAATTAAAATCAATTCTACTCTAATAAAGAGGATACAATCCTTCAACAGAGATCATGCATACAGAATCGCTAAACACAAGACTCTAATTCAGATTCAAAAGTTCCACGACAAGCATAGCAATATCAGATTTGAAACCATAAAATGAATGTGTAACTCACACACTACACAATACAGAATCAAATCGGAACAGAAGAATCATATAGAACTCCTTTTACGATGTAAGGGCTCAGACTTGGATCCAACTTCCAGGAGAACTAAGGACGACTGGCTTCTCATTACTGGGGCAGCTTCACTGAGGTCCACGGAAGGATCAGACATGGTGAGGCTGAAGGAGAGAGTGAGACAGTGGTGATGGAGAGACGGAGATCGGGAGAGTGACGGAGAGAACAAGACGAAGATGGAGCGAATGAGAGGGATGGATATGAGATGAGTAGATTTGGTGGAGTGGGTTTGGAATGTGATCGAAGAAATCCCCCAATTCAGATGGCGAGTGATTGTGTGAAATGGAGGTCCCCTCTTCCAAGCTCCAAACGGTGCGTTTTTGCTCTTTGGCTATGTACTGTTCAAATTACCCACCAATAATTCCTTTATTCTTCTTTAGTCTTTAACCTGAAAATGCAATTTTAACTGTTTTTTAAATCGTACAATTTAATTAAAAGAATCTTATAATAAGGGAAGGAGTAGTATATATGTGCATATAAGAAAGAACACGATTCTTCTTCTTTTTTTTTTTCTGTTGAGCAACTATGATTAGCTAAACTTTTAGAGAAAGAAGGCTGAGAGTAGCATATCAACCTAAGTTCAGACAGAGAAGTTATTTCACTTCAGACAAGTTCATAATATGTTTATTTAATATTTATCAGATTTCATGTTGGTCTTTTAAATCTAAAAGTGAGATAAAAAATTTTCTAGCACTTAATTAATTAACACTGTTAAGTAAGTGGTTAACAAATAAGAAAAACCATAAAATAAATTAATTTAAAAATTTTTAATAAAATGTTTAGAATTACAACCTTTAAATAAATAACTTTTACTCATTTAAACAATGCTGAAAATTCAACCTAGAATGTAAAGTGCAAGAATTAAATATTTAAGTTTTATTATAATTAAAATACTTTTAAAATCTTAAAATAATTTGGACTTCATATTTGGGCTCATGTTTCAGACGAGGTACATGGGTCTTCTTCTAATCAATGTCTCTTGAAGCTTATTCCTTGGACCAATACAGTTGATTGGAGCAAGAGTCGGCTACCAAATTTACTGCTCAACGCTCCAACTCCCCCCTCGCTAATATATTTGAGGTGTCGAACCGTGGGAATGATGTGAGGAAAAGGAAGCGTTGACACTACTCTTACAAATGCCAAGAGCAGAAACACCTTTACCATTTCCTCTTGTGTTTCGTCAGATGTTTCTATAATCAAGGCCCTCCTTTTGCCTTCTTTGCTGATAGCCCTGCGGATAGACATGATAATCGTAGTAAGACTAGTACTCAATTTGAAGTTAACATCTGCAAGTGGGTTTTGCAAGTTTTGACTCCTACTCTCTGGATTTGCGACCTTTCTGCCAAAAAGGCTCGCATGGTAGAAGGACGAGCCACAGATACCATGGGTGCCACAGAATGAGTAGTGCTGTGGTAATCAAGAATGCTCCTAGGCTACTCATCTTTCTATTTGCTTTTTCTGTTTTTCATTTGTATGGCTTTAGTTTGCGTTTGGTTTACAGCAACAGGCATGCTTACAATCAGCTTCGCTCATCAACACTATTACGGCTTCATGGTGATCTCAAACTTGGCTCTATTATGTTGTTGCTGGGATTTGGCATCAGCATTACACTATTTTTCAACACCTTTTATGGTGCAGGCATCGTGAGATTATGAGTAGTTCTCAGGGTCGTAGTGGCGTTAACTTCTGTAAATAGCTCAACGAGAGTGCTTATCCAGACTCTTTCAAAATGTCGGAGTATCATGCGTGGACATACATGAAGTTGTGTTGGTTGATGCAATCATGCAAGACGACGGACTTGCTTTGGGCTGTCCTTCTCGCTTTTTGTATGTGAATGTTTTTTGTTGAACATTTCATTTTTTGTACTTTTGTTTTATTTTCTGCTGCTAGGCTTCACTATCACTTACCGTGGTATGCTAGTTGTTGATGCCTTTTTTATGTATTGTTTTATCTGATCTTAATAAAATTGTCTATTATAAAAAAAAAAAAAGTGTATTCTTTTGTACAAAAGCTAACCATTTAAAAGCGGAAAAAATGACACATAAATAACCTTTCATTTTCATATATGAAATTCTAATTTGAAAAACTAAAATTTCAAATAGACAAAAAAAACTTAAATTATTATTTTGAAAATGGGGTATAATGACAAAAATGCCATTTACTAAAAGGGATAAAAAAAGCTAACCCTCACCGGAGGCCTGTCTCCAGCCTGCGGCCAGATGAGGCCCCCCCAAAAAAAAAAAAAGGATGGGTGGGATTAGGGTGAATGGACAATACCACTCTTGGGGTGTTTCTTTTCTTTTTCTTTTTGTTTTTTTAAGCACGATTGTTAATCTCTCACACCGTAACATAGAGACAGTAGATGCTCGTAGGGAGGCATTGGCCCCTTCGGATTTACTTGCCAAGAGGGCTCATGAGATGAACAATAAGAGAGCAGTCTTGCTGGACCCACCCACATTCTGCTTGGATCAAATGGCAAAGGACTTAAATTTAGGCCCTATTTCTTTTCATGGTTGAGATTACTTATAAACACATTTTACCTAAATTGAAACAAAATTTCTCTCACATATTTATCTCATATTCCATAAATCACGATTGAAAAGTTACTTATAAGCTGTTCCAAATATGTCCTTAGTCTTGTTTATTTCAGCTAGTATGTTGTCAGCTTAAATCCTGTTTGATACGTAACATTAAAAATGAGAAATAAGAATTAAGATTATAATTGATAAAAATTATTAAAAAAATTTAGTATAAATAATTACTTGTCACATGAAATTAGATAAATCCATTGATGTGGGATTGGAGAATACCATCACCCACCACGGTATTCTCCAATCCTATATATATGGGTTTGTTTAATCACATATATATGGGTTTGTTTAATATCATATAATAAGAATTCTTCCCTGCTAAATTTTTTTTAATAAATTTTTTAAATTCCAACCTCAATTCCTACTCTTTATTTTTAACACTTTGCACTAAACAAGACCTTAGCCTCTATTTGTAGTTTTCCTTCTCAAGATTGCCGTAGAACTTGTGCGTCTCTATAATTGTATGTTGCCAATGAATCACTTTTCGATGGTCTGAAATATGATTGATATACATTTAAACATATTTGAAACATTAAATATTTTAAGATTAATATTATTTTTAGTTTTTAACTTTGACTTTGTTTTGGTTTTGATCATGAAATTTTATTTTATTTTGACCTGTGTAAACATTTTTGACTTAAATCAACATGAAGTCAAATTTTAAAAATTAAAGATAATATTAACCAACGTTTTTATTTGGAAATTGCTGCTCTTTGGTGATTGTATGTCGCAAATTTTTATCTAGCAAGTGTAAAGTTCCAGCATTATGTTCTTTTTTAATTATATATAGTGGGCTAATTTTATGCATTATCCTAATCCTCCCCCAGCTCTTATATTTAAAATTAGAAGAGTATTATTTTTCTACTACTTCTAGTACCTTAATTTTATTTATGATACATCATAAATAAAATTAGAACGTTGGGTGTAATTGGATTGGATACATGATAAATAAGATTAAAATGCCAAATACTGCTGAGAAATAACATTAGGATGTTTTACGATAACTTACCCATTAAAAATGATAAAAAATTGGATTAATACCATTATTATTTCTTACTGTATAGAAAGTAAATGTGTATGTGATTTTAAAAGTAATTTTATAATATATAAAGTAAGTGTAAAAAGAGTTTTATTTTGATTTACATAAAATAAGATACCCATTAAAAATAATACAAAAATTGGATTAATACTATTATTATTTCTTACAGTATGGAAAATAAATATTTATGTGATTCCAAAAGTAATTTTATATATAATATATGAAATCAGTATGAGAAGAGTCATGTTGTGATTTATATAAAAATACAGTTTTTTGAAAGTAATTTTGTGGGCATCCGAACAGCCGTCCTCAGGCTCACAGGTTTTCCCCATGGGGAGTAATCCATCGGTCCACAGTCAATCTTCCTGTCTTCTACGTTACTTAAAAGGAACAGATAAGATTTTGGCCCCAAAAAAAAAGGACGGATAAGATAGAGCGAAAGATGCAGGGTACAGAGATGGAGCCGAGCAAAAAGAAAGCGAGGCTGGGAGAAGAAAGCGAAATAGAGGCAGCACGGAGGACTCAACATTCGACTCCGGAGAAACCCGAACTGGTAATAGCTTCAGATCTTCTCCTTTCCCCTTGAATTCAATGAATCCTATCTCTCAATTCATTGTTATAGCTAACTCCGATTAAAATTGAGGCCAAAAAATTTGTCGGATCAAACTTCAATTTGTAGAGTGAGCCCTTTGGTTGTGCTTATCAACAATGGCTTCGTAGCTTGTTAGGCGATTTGGTTCCTGTGTGTTCAGTGGGTTGCATTTGGCCATTGTCCCTGTTTTTTTCCCTGTTCTTTCTTAGTTTCTGCTTTCGTTTGTTATTCTCTTCTGCTTCTGCTTTCCTCCTTTTACTTCGGCGCAACATTGATATGACAGAAAAACAAGAAAAAAACTTCTCTTCGTTGCAACATTGTTATTCTCTGCTTCTGATTTCTTCCATTTATTGCGTGTCAAGTTTATCTTTTTTCGGAATGATTTTGAGGGAAAAAGCGTGTGATGATGCGAAGGTGTTGGTTTTTTTGTTTTTTTTTGGGAGGGAGGGTTAGTGAAGGAATGGGCTATGGACTTGTAGGGTTATATATATGGTTATCAGATTTAGGTGAATAGTCAAGAAAAGCAAATTAATTTTTTTGAAATATTTTTATTAAATTAAAGCTAGGCATTAATCATTAACCTTAAAAGAAATCAAAATAAATGAAGTTAAATTTATTAATAACTGGAAGAAAATTTGTTGTTGGGGATTTGCAGCTTGACTCAGTCGTACTATTGTTAATAATTAGAGTTAAATTTATTAATAACTGTACAGCTAAAAATGTTTTTGACAAACATGTATCATCCTAACATGTTTAATCTGTCAAAATCACTCTTAATGTAAAACAATCCAAACATAAGTTGAAATCTACCCATATTCTATTTTGCCAATGCTAATCTAAACACCCTATTAATTGGCAATGATGTGCTGTTTGAGTTTTAAATTGCATCATATCATCATTTTCTTCATGTTATCTCTCGGCCTAATTTCTGCAATGGGACTTGGGGGAGTTAATTTAATAAGAGAGTAAAGCTTGATCATACTTATATGCATACATAAATACATATACATATGTGCTTGATTGCGTGTAAGCAGTGATTGGGGCAAACTACTGCGAGAAGGTTAGAACTATTTGAGTTACTGAGAGTTCGTTAGTGTCTTTTTATTCACTTTATAGAGACAATGTATGCTTTCCGTTATTCTCCAATTCACTGGCTCCTCGAGAATATATGCCTGTCATATGGCCATGAACTTAGAAATGTTGGTTGACTCTTGCTATCTAATTGGAGCAATGCCAATTCCCGAAATAGTTGATAAGGTTTCTTTGAATCGTTGATGAGGTTTCATACATAAAATGTGCTTTCCTTTTTCTTTTTCTTTTATTTTTAATTGTCCTTTGTGAATAACATGCTAAACTATGGGAATTTTATATCTTGACCCTCCCACTAACCCATTTTTTCTGTAAAGGTCTGTGTAAGGAGGACATGATTTTATACTATCTTACGTTGAAGATGATGATGAGTACTGTCCAACTATGGTGGATCCAAGGACCAAAGCTTGGAGTTATGGTGGAATGTGCGCTAACAAAACTAGGTCAGCATTTTCTAAAGAAGGTGGTGACATCTGGAGACCCCTCGACCACAAAAAACTTGATCCGGAGATTCGTGCAAAGTTCAGCTAAATCAGTGTCTCTCAGCACTCTTTGCCATCTCCTCTCTCCTTCTACAGTTCAACCCCATCTCTCCTCAGTTGCCTTCCCGGTTAGTACTTTACTCTTTATCTCTCTCCTCGAATTGATTATTAGAGTCTCTGATATTTCTGCGAATTTTGCAGCTTTATGCAAGAATTGCGGAAGCACCTTGGTACAGTTGGAACCCTAAGATTGTAGATGAGCTTGCTACTTTGCTGGATAAACAGGAACAATATTCAGCCTGGGAAACTCTAATTTCGGGAGCCACTTCCAAATTAGAGTCTGGCTCTCGAAATCTGGCTCTTTTCTATTGTAAATTGTTGGATTGTAACTCCAAGCAAAATTCAGAAAGAGGGTTTGAGATTGCTTACTCGTACCTAAGCCAGCTTCTTCATAGTTCATCATCCTTTACTTACATAAAACGTCGTGTTTATGAGTATATGGTCAGTGGTTTATGTTCAATGGATAGGCCTTGTGAGGCAGAGAATTTGGTTGGGAATATGAGAATCAAAGCACTTGAACCTTCAGCGTTTGAATTCAAGTCTATCATGTGTGGTTATGGGAGATTGGGATTATTCCAAGACTTGGAGAGACTTTTGGTTCAAATGGAAAAAGAAGGGTTTGTCATTTATACAGTTTGTTCAAACATGGTTCTCTCAGCGTACGGAATGCACGGTGAGCTAACAAAGATGGTTTCATGGCTTCAAAGGATGAGGAATTCATCGATTCCGTTCTCAAAAAGGACGTATGATTCTGTTTTGAATTCATGTCCTGTTCTCATGAGAAAATTGGTGGACTTAAATGGCTTCCCATTGTCAATTGAAGAGTTGAATGCTAGTTTGGAAGGAGCTGAAGCTATAGTGATTCAAGAGCTAATCGAGTCAACCGAGATTCTAGAAGAGGTCATGGTTTGGGACTCTAAGCAGGCAAAGCTGGATTTACATGGACTGCATTTGGGTTCATCCTATCTGATTATGTTACTTTGGTTGCAATAAATGCGACGAAGGCTGAACGATTCAACTTACGCGATTCCTGCAGAAATTGTCGTGGTGTGTGGTTTAGGGAAGCATAGCAATCTCAGGGGACGATCGCCTGTGAAAACGTTGGTGAAAGAGATGATGGTGAAGATGAAAAGTCCTCTGAGAATTGATGATAGGAAGAACAGTGGTTGTTTTGTTGCTAAAGGTAAAGCTATGAGAGATTGGTTGTGTTTGGGACACGAATTAAACAAATAGAATATGCAAGATCATAATGGGGCCATCGTTGCCTAACCGTTAGTTAACCATGCTCGCTCCTACATGCATGCTCTCAAATTTGATTCTTTCTTTGGCTTTTGCACATGCCAGAGAGGGGGATTATATCAGATTTATTCCGAGAGATTAATAAGTTAAAAGAAAAAAAAATGTCTGTAATATACGTAATTCATTCCTCCCATGTCGTTATCTCCATCTTAAATCAAATTTATTCGTTTTTATTTTGTAATTTAATATTTTGATGCTAATTTTATGAAGTAATCAAAGGAAAAATTAAGTTGAGGTCTCAAAAAAAAAAAAAAAAAGGTTTATGAGAAGGTTTTAATGACGAATTAAATTGTCATTCCGTACTAAGACTGTCAATGTACATTGCTCTGTCACTATTGAGATCATTTTTTGTACCTATATTTTTTTTCCTTAAATTTTATTACAATTCTCCCGATATTTTGAGTGTGAATGGTCTAAATTTCATTAACAAATTCGTAGGTTCGTTTTCCGGGGTACTGGAAGCTCTTGACAGTGTGAAAAGGCTTACATTATCGAGTTTCACTTGTTCAACCAAAGGCCCCTCTCTCGTGCATCAAAACTTCCATTGGATGATCGGAATAAAATAAGAAAATAGAAAAGTCTTAGTCCTTGTTTGATTCCTTCTTTCTAGAACAATTTTTCGTTTTTTTTTAAAAACAAAGATAATTTAACTTTAGTTAAGTGTTTTGCAAAAAGAAAAAGAAATGTCTTTTAAAAATATAAAATTAGCATCCAACGCTTTGATGTGATTTTCCAACTACATACAATTTCCAACACCCTAATTTATTTATAATGCATTAAACACTATAAGCTATAAATAAAATTAAAGTGTTGGATACTATCAAAAAATTATATTAGGATACTGGATGTTACTTTACTCTTGAAAAAAATTTTAAAAGAATAAATTAGAACAATTTTTAAGATAATTTAATATAAAAGGCCATTGTTTTTAGATACTGACAACCCTTCGTTACTTATTTACCGCTTTATTAGCCACCTTTGTCATAAAAAAAATTCCAGCCGCCAACGAGAGTGCCAACGTGGCATGTTTATTTATTTATTTATTTTTAAAGAAAACTAAAGTATATATTTAATTTTCTACATTTACATCTAGTTTCAATTTGCTTCTTTAAATTTAAAAAGTATATTTTTGATTTATTTAATTTTAAAATCCTCTATCTCATTTAACAAAACATGTTGACTCGTGAAATGCTTGTTATCATTTTTATCATAAATAAACCTGCGGATCAATTGGTTTATTTTAATTTTGTACTATAAGTATGTTTTGCCAGTATTTAATTATATAGTTACTGTTTAAATTTATTGAGTCAACATTTTTGTGAAATGATGCTAATAGTGCTGAGATTAAAAAATATATTTTTTAAACTTTGATGTAAATTTAGTGGACTAAAGTATAGTTTAGCGTTAAATAGCGTAGGACAATCCTATAAAAACACATTTCCTAATTTCATTTTAGTAGATGTGGATGATTTGAGATTATTGACACTGGCGTCACTAATTTGTTATTTTGATATTTTCATGATATTTTTCTGGTATTTTCCCTAATTAGCAAATCATAGCTTTTTATTTATACATTTAAATAGAAATAAAGAATGTATTTTATTTTTTTAAATTTTTTTGTCATTGATTAATATTAACTTTTCCAACAGAAAAGAGAATATTACTTACTGGAAATTTATAGACTATTTTTCGTGATTTAATTTGCAAACAACATTTATTAAGAGTGATTTATCAATGCCAAGCATACTTATTCAAAACTAAAAAATTGATTTATTTATTTTTTAATGCATTTAAGTTTGTGTCCTAATTTTATGTTCACCTCACTTTTTAATATAAGAAGTTAAATTTATATTATAAGTAACAAAATGATTAGCGCATGCCCCTAACGCGTTAAACAACTAAACACAAAGGTCGTGCCACAAGTTATAGCAGCCCAACTAAGCGCGCACACAGAAATTTAAATTTTGAAGCGGCTCAACAAAACACAATACGCATCCTTCCACAAATCCACGCTATTTAGATAGAGTCCATGACAGTATCTTGAATCTAATAGGAGGATATTTGTGCTTATCCAAAAAAAAATTTGACAACAAAAGAGAGTTGACCTAATAGAAGGAGCCCGTCTCTCAAAACATGATGAATTGAAGTTTAAATCAATGTTGGGGAAGTGCTCACATTTAGTATCAAATAATGGTTTGAATATGATTACTTCCAATAGTAGGATACATATGCTTAGAAAAAAATATCTAACAGTACTTCAAATAAGATTACCTCTAATAAAAAAATATTTGTGCCTACGGAAAAAAAAGCATCTAAGCGAATAAATGATCTCAGCTTGCAATCTCGCATGAAAATATTAAGGGAAAAAAGACTTTTGATTCTAAAAGTAACTTCACAAGAGATTTTGTTTTTAAGGTATCAAACTAAAACTTTGTATGAAATTAAATAACTAAGGTGTCTGTTGTCACATAATGACCTAATAAATATAAGGGTTAAGGTGCAATTTTAACCCCAATATTATTTTTCAGATGCAATTTTGTCCCTGATCTTTTTAGTGGTGCAACTTGGATCCTGATTTTTTTGTGTGTAATCTTGTCTCTCATGGTTAAAATTACACCCAAAGATCAGAGACAAAATTGCACATGAGAAAAAAAGATCAGGGATAAAATTGTGCCTAAGAAATAAGATTAGGGGTAAAATTCATTACCAAAAGATTAGGAACACAATTGCACCTTAACCCTAAATATGATGACGTTACATAATTTTTAAGATATCAAACTAAAACTTCGTATGGATCTATTGCTTACGGATCTAACATTCAAAAAGGAATTGGATAAAATGTTTCACGAAACATTTGAACTATCATTTGAGCATTGCTGTTGGAGTTTGGATAAAATTACGTTACGTCATTATAAATAGTAAAAATTACATATAGTGAGATTTAAATGGAAAACCATACATAACAAATATAAGTAAGTGGACGTAAATTTTTTTCATTTATAAATGCAAAATTTAAAAGAAAAAATCCCATTTAAATCTAGTTGAAATACTAAAATTTAAAATCAGGCTTTCACTTTAAACAAATTCCTATGAATATTATAAAAAGACTAAAATGCCTCTCTATAATTAAAGTATGAGTAGTCAGTTATATTTTTCTCCCTTGCAAATTCTTTTCCTAAAATATGAAAATAATAAATTATAACACTGTCCTCAGTCCAAAATCTGTAAAAAGTTCGTTATCTTAATAAGTTTTTAACTCTTAAAATGTACGTGTATTCTATTAAAAAAATGTATGTGTTTAATAACAAAAATTGTATATGTGTATATATTATTAAGTATATGAAGAATGTATCAATATTAAAACTGAACAAAAATTAAACCCTTCCAAGACTAAAATCTAACAATAACTACATCCTTACGTTGATGAGGATGCTGGAATAATTATTAATGTAAGCCATTGACTATATTGTAATTTTTTGTCATCTACTGAAGATTTACTATTTTCAAATTTCAATCTAACAAGAAAATTTTAGGAAAAGAATTTGTGAGAAAAAAATATAAAAGTAACAACTCATATTATAATTATAAAGGGGTATTTTAAAGTTTTAACAATATTTATAAATTACTAATTGGGTCTGATTAGGAATTTGTTCAAAGTATGGATCTAATTTTAAATTTTAGTATTTTAGTTGGATTTAAATGGGATACTCTCAATTTAAAAACCCTATTGAACTCAAACCCTTAAAAAAAAATCTTCGGTATCGTTAAATATTCCTGGGCTGTTTCGCGGTAAAATTTTCAGTAAAACAATGAAGAAAGCATTTAAGAAGAAGAAACAAATGGAGAGACGAATTTGTCCCTAGCTGGTCCTTACGGGCTTGCACTTCGCGAATGTTACCCAATCAAATTCACGGAACCTTTTCGGTAACATGCTTTTTGGTGGGGACCAATTTACCATTGTTTGTCTTTTATACACATGGGGACTTTTGATTGACATAAAATATCAAATAAAGTTGGCAAAAAAAAAAAATCCAGTAAAACCTTTTTTCTTTGGTGATTAAAAAAACACGACAAGGGCAGCATGGGGTTGCGTGGTAAAGTGGCGCTCCTTTCTGTTCGAAATATAAGATAAATTTTATTAAAAGGATTTTATTTTTTTAATAAAATAATATTTATTTTTGTCTAAGTATTTAATGAGTTTTTTTTTCAATTTTACCCTATATATTTTTTCCCTCTTTGATTCATTTATTACATCTTATATTTATTCTTTTCCTTAATAAATGCATATTTAAGAAGAAATATATATCTTACATATTTATTGTTTTAAACTGATTTTAACTAATTTCTTGATAAGCGTAAATGGATAAAGTTTAGTTTATACTCCTCTGATCGTATTTATAGGGCAGATAGAGGATTTTTTTGTCCTATTTATAAGTCACTTTATTAAATTTTTATCATGAATGTACTATATTATCCTTCATTTATTATAGTGTATATAATTGTTATTTTTGAAAGGTGTATATGTAAATAAGGGTAAAGTTGAAAAGTTGTTATATTTTAATGAAGAGTTAATATAGTTTAAAGTTTTTGGTTTTTCTTAGTCTGTGTGAAACATGTTAGAAGTATCTTATAAATAAAATCAGAAAAGTATTTTGAGCCTGGAAGTAACTTTGTTGGACACTCCCCGAGTTTGACGATATACTATGGTTGTCACTCACTCACTTGGCATGTGGTTGGCATTTGTCGTTAAATCGTTAATTAAGTCATTAAGACCCCTCAGTATTAAGTTTGTATAAATTCTATGAAATTCATATATTGTTAATTATGTGCAATTCATCATTGAAATCGTTATTTATCTAGGAGCCTTGGTGCTCATTGGAGTAGTGATGAGCCCCAAAGAAAATGACCATGTACATTGAAAACATGGACTAGATATGAGGTGATCCAAACCATAGGTGGCTCTTTTTTAAACTGTACTTCTTTTTTAAATAAGTTC